GGTGTGAACCAGTCACTCACTGTCATGCCTGCCTTTTACATGAGCTTTTGGAATCTGAGCTCGGGCTCAGGGAAGCACTCTTCTCTGTGGAGCCAGCTTCCCAGCTCCCACTGCCTTTTCTGAGACAGGGTCTCGCTGTCCTGCAGCTGGCCAGTCAGTCGCCTTCATGGTGCAGAGATTACCAGCATGGGTGTTACCACAGCTCCTGGCTTATTGTTAACGTGGGCTTTAGGGTTTCTACTTGCTTATGAGGCAACACTTTAAGACTATATCACTTCCCAAGCCCTCAGGTTTATTTTGAGGGTAATAATCAGACAAATCAGAAATGCTTCTTCTACAAAAAGAAAAAAAAAAGATTTATTTTTAGTTGTGTTCGTGTTGTCCCTGTGTCTGGGTTTGTGCGTGTGTAGCTGCCCAGAGGCCAAAAAAGAATACTGGATCCCCTGGGTCTGGAACTCCGGGTGCCTAAAACCACTTGACAGGCTGTTGGGGAACCAAATTCAGGAACCTCTGAGCTATCTTATACAGACTTCTGATGTATAAGGAGAGATTGCTGGAGACCCTCACAGCTCTGTGATCCTTGGCAGGTCACAGGAATGTTCTGGAATGCTCCACTGCTTCACTCCAGTGGTTCAATCTACAAGTGGTGTCAGTGTGAGGTACATGCTAGAGAGGAGTTTGTAAAAACCAGGATCCGGTACCTCTGCTGGGCCGTGCCTCCAATACTTTACCCAGAGCCTGAGCTGAGGATCATGAGTTCAGGGCTAGCCTGGGCTATATGGTGAGCATCTGGAAAGCAAAACCAAAGCAAAAAAAAAACAAGCAAAATAAAAAAGATATCAGGCGTCAAAAATATTATCTGCTGAAATTCAGATTTTGTGATTTTCTTCCTGCATGCTATAATTTCTGGGTCTCTGGGTAGTACTATAAATCCCATGGTAAGGAGAGAGAGTGAGTGTCCAAGAGACAGATAGACAGAGAGAATTTGGTTTCCAAGTTTCATTCTGATGTAATTGTTATTTAGAAGCAATCCAGCCACCTTCAAGTCTCACACATTTGCTTTCATTTTGGTGGGAGTTGGGGTTGTGCTAACGTGTTTATCCACACAGCATGGCAGATGTGGTATTAAACTAGCACATGGGGAACTGACAGGGACAGAGTGTAACATTAGGGCCTGCTTGTTGGGGGTTTCTGTCCTGCCTAGTTCCCACAGCCTATAAATCCCAAAGAAAATCACACAGAGAGTCTGCATTAGTTATATACTGATTGGCCCCTTAGCTCAGGCTTCTTATTAACTCTTATAACTTATATTAACCCATTATTCTTATCTATGTTAACCACATGGCTCAGTACCGTTTTCAGCAGGGCAGGTCACATCCTGCTTCTTTGGTGTCTGGACAAGACTGGGAAGGAATGGGCTTCTTCCTTCCCAAAATTTTCCTGTTCTTCTTGACCCGCCTCTACTTCCTATCTGGTTGTCCTACCTATACTTCCTGCCTGGCTACTGGTCGATCAGTGTTTATTTAAAGCATAATTGACAGAATACAGAATTGTCCCACACCAAGAGAGACCTGCCTGTGCTTCACTGTTCAGTAGTTCTGCGCGAAAAGGTTCTTATAGCCACATAACTCTGCTTAGGTTTGCTCAGCCTGCAGGCTCCAGCCCCTTGATTCCATGCCTCCTTCACCTGTCACTCATGGTTACAGAGGACTAATAAGAGGGAAGGATTCTATCTATCCTTAGTCGTCAGCTACGCTATATAAGGAGAACAAAACCTAAGTGCAAGCACGTCGTCCCTTGGATTGAGGAAAAATGAATGTGTTGAAAAGAGAAATACTATCCACTTACATCCAGTCTCTCCTCTATATTGAAAATATATTTGAATGTGTTAGGAATTCTAAACACAGGCTTCCTCATATCAGATACTTGAGCATTGTTTAAAATAAATATTCTCCTGCCTTCTTCCTTGCTACATCCACGGCTGTCTCGCCAGTGTAGCAGAAATGCTGACTGGATGGGAAAATATTGCCAGAAGGATTGGGATTTGTGCTTCTAGGAGCTGTGTGTTCCAGGTGGTCCCTTGGCAACCAGTTGTGGTGTAATGCTGCCTGAGTCGCCATTAGTACTGACTCGACCTGGCTGTCCTTGGAGCCATATGTGTGTCTTTTCCCTTGTCTGTGTGTTCTTTGTGATCCTTACATATTGCTAACAGATCAGACTATTCCAGGCAGTTGTGGATATAAACAAGACTGCTGAGGACATTTTTGAATTCTGCTCCACTATTAATTAAAGCCTTAAAAAAGTAGCCAGTTCTGGGAATTGCCAAAATCATCATTAGGATAATTCCTTGATGATGTGGAATAAAAGGAGTTAATCTTAGCAGAAAAAACCTTTGAAGCCTTCTACAGGAAAATAGCATTAGGCATTTATGTGCAACTTAACAGGAGGCCTATGCAACCTTCCTTATGGCCAGAAAACCTAGGCTAATTACAACATCTGACCCTGAGAGTCGGGAAGGGAAAGGAGTTGAGATTAATGGTACAAAATGAGTCTCAGAAAGTTTTTCCAGGAAGATAGTAGCCTTTTTCTTCTTTCTCACCCAGACACACAAGGTCACTTAGCTGAGCCCAAGTCAGCCACCTGGTACAAGCTGATAAAGGTGGGCTAACTCAAGAACAATGGTCTCTCTAATAACAAGAAAAAAGAAGGGGTAACTTTACAAATGTAAGGAAGCAAAAGTCCTTGTACTCATGCCAAAGCATCTTTAAAGATTCTCTTTGTAAAACCGTTTTATGCTGTTCTTTTCTATTTTATGATCTGATGATGTATGCCTTTGCCAAGTTCTTTGTTTGTAATAATATATAATCCTGCACTGAAGTAAGTAAATCGCAACAGCATGTCTCAAAAACATTGAGAGTGTCTGTGTGTCACTTTTCCTCGCCGTATCCTGATTTCTCCTGTGCCTTCGCCCTGATTCCCTTCTGGTCTGAGTGGCTCCCTTGAGCCGGTCCGTAGCACTTCCTCTCCTTCCTCTAACATCGGAAGAGTCCTTGGGGTTTGTCCAGTTCTCAGTGCATTTCAGTTGTCTGGGTACCTCCTCTGACCCAGTGAGGAACCTCCTTAGGCATCCTAAGAAACTGTCACACCCTCACTCCTCCTAGCCTGGCTTCTGCCATATTGCTTTTGGCTCAACCTCTCTGATACAATTACTGCCAGAAGAGAATGGGCTGCGGACTTAGGGAATGGCTGTTTGGGGGGCCTGAATTTCTATTGCATTTACAGAGGACAAGCCTTCAAAGAATGCAGGGGAAGATAAAAGAGTATTTTTCTTAAATGAAAAATAAAAATAAGAACCCTGTTCTTCCCCTGGCTTCTCAGCAGTCCCCAAGCCTAACGAAAGCTGCTAGAGAAGCCAGGCATTTCTCTCCATGTAGGTGGCCACAGACGGTTCCCAGAGGCATTCCCTCCCAAGCAGAACAGAGCTCACAGCCTGGGTGGTCAGAGAGGCCCTCTGGGAAGACGAGGGAGGCCAGGAGCAGGTGAGCTGCTGAGCCACCCCCTCACCACTCAGGAGGCCTGAGCCAGGAGCCTCACGCTGGGCGGCCTGATGGAAACTTCTCTTGTTTCCCCTTGTTTTGAACTGGTGCAATTATTATTCTGTTCTCTATACCAATATTATGACATTCTCTCTCAGCAGATAACAGAAATTTGGACTGTTGAGAGGACACAGGAAACCATGGCAACCGTTCTATAGTGACATACTTTCCTGCTCTGCTAAATTCTAGTGAAGGTTTATCGCATGCTGCCTTCATCTCCATTGCTCATGACCGTCTTGTCATTCTTAGGGAATACTCAACTTTCATTACTTCTCTGCAAAAGTGTCCCTGCGAACACCCACCCGACCCAAGGATTGCTGTGTCTTACCAGCTCATCGGGCAACGCACCCTCTTAGGGTGAAAGCTTTATCAAAAACTCGTTGATGAGCTGGGGAGATGGTTCAGTGACAAAGCAAACAAGCATAAGGGCCTGAGTTTAGATCCCCAGAACCCATGGAACACATGTCTATAATCTTAGCTCTCCTACAGAGAGGTAGGAAGGGAAGGCTGAGGATCCCTGGGAGCTGGTGGGCCATTTAGTTTGGAGTCCATAACCAGTGAACAGGAGACTCTGTCAACCAAGATGCAAGGTGAGCGTGGATACCTGAGGTCATCCTCTGGTCTTAACATACATGCTGTGGCACACGCGAGCCCATATTAACATACGTGCTGCGGCACACGTGAGCCCATATTTGTACACATATACATCATAACACAACGCAAAGATCTCAAAGATATAGCCTCTTTAATCAAGAAGTCCATGGGAAAAAGTTTGGGGCACCATTGCAGCAATCAGGACAGCCCATCCAACTCATGATGATTAACACTCATGGTCAATGTGACAAGACTTAGTCACCATGGAAACGTGTGGTTATGTCTTTGAGGATGCTTCAGGAAATAGTCAGCTGCAAGAGACACCATGAGTATGGGTGGTACCTTCCTAGGGGGTAGAGTCCCAGTCTGAATATAAAGGAGAGAGCAAGCTGGGTACCGACACCCTCCTCTCTGTGCCCTGTTGTCGCTTAACCTGCTCCCATGCCTGCCCCATCACGGCAGACCTGCACCCTCGGACTGTGAGCCAAAACAACCCGTCTGCTTTTGTCAGACCCCAAACCCAGTCGCTGTTGTCATGGCAACGAGACAAGTGACTAAAGCCTCCTTTACGTCTGTTTCCGTGATGATAACACAGAGGGTCTCGGACAGGAGAGTTTTAGGAAGAGCATAACACATCCACAAAAGGAGGTTGGCAGGGCCCCTCGGTCCATAAAAAGCCATTTTTGTTTTACTTGTCTTATCTGCTGGACTTGGGGAGGAACCGCAGCAACTATCGCCCTGGCCTACTCTCTCAGACTCTCCTGGCCTCTTCTGCTCCTGAATTGTCTCACCCTGTGATTTGCTTTTCAGGCCAGAGGGCCCTGACTCGGAGATGTTAAACCGGCCTGCTGCAGCGGATCTACACTACTTACTTGGTGGCTTCTTTAAACAGAAGGAACCTCTATGTGCTGCTGATGGGCTGTGAGCTGTCACAGCCACTGTGGGAATCCGGAGAGGGGTCTCTCTGAAGTCCTGCTGAGTCTCCCCACCTCGCTGACTGAATAAACTGCTTCTGTCACACGTTCTCCTCCTCCACGGACCCCGTTTCTCTTGGTGGGACAGTAGACCCCTGCTTTCGTTTCCAGAAGGGAACCTGACTTTCTAAACCGAGAGTGGTGGTGCATGGTGGCAATCCTAGATCTCAGGTCAAAGGTCAGCCTGGGCTCCATAGCTGGGCCACATTAAATAGGAAGAGGGAGGGAGGCATGGGGATGAAAAGAGGGGGGGGGAGGGAAGGAAATGAAAAGGACTAGAACGGGAAGGGGGAAGGAAGTTGTTTTTCCACACCAGAAGAATTAGAGAGCCAGGTCTTTGACCCTCTGCTTCCCGGGATGCCTAATATAGTGCCGGCCCCTTTGTTTCCCTCATTACCTGATGTCACAGAAGGATGCTGACAGTCTCATCCTGTGTGGAAATCCCAATTTTCTCGACAGTAGCAACAGTCTGTGTTTCCCAAATCTTGACAAGCTATTCTGTGGGGACGGGTAACATTCCTAAGGCCATCTGTTACGTGCCTTTGCCTGAGGTTTATAATACTGCTCTTACTGACTTTTAGACGTAAATGATTGGAGTGATTTCTTACCACATATATATATATATATATATATATATATATACATATATATATTTCTTACCATATATATTTATATATATATTCAGATGCATCTCCATACAGAGGCCCTCCTTGTCTCTTCTGAGTGACTTCTGGGTTGGATTGAATCATTGCTTGTGACTACTTTTGGTAAATTTTCTTTGCAAAGAATAATATTACAAATATTCCTAATAGAGATAAGTACTCCAAAATAATGACAAAATAATAGTTATGAGTAAATGACAGAAACATCTCACCAAGTATCCATTTTGAATGCCTTAGTAATTGACAGGAAGGAATGCTCACTTAAGTGCCACACAGAAGCATCTCTCTTCTATTCATCAGTAAAAGACATTGAACCAGTCACTGTACACCTGGACCGAAGAATGACCAGCAGGAAGCCAGTGACCATGGCTGGCCCTGGCTGAGGGGAGTCTGAGGTGCCTGGGATAGCCCCTTGGTCTCCATTTTCTGCCTCTGGTTAAGTAGTGCCAAAGACACAAGGTCTGGGAGCAGATGTGGTGCTGATCTCACCGAAAAGAGAACGAGAATAGCAGGAATGTATTGGTCAGGCCCAACCCAAGGGACACAGAGGCCCCTGGGACTTCGCCCTATTCAAAGGAAACGACACTTAAAAAGTATCACGGAGAACCTGACCTCATCAATGCAACACAACTCTCCCCCAGCGATGGGAAACTGGGAAATTTATGCCCCCATTCTCATTCTCTAGTCCAAACAGAAACAGGAACAATCATCTCAGTGAAGTGTGTTTACCATGGGTGTGTCGCTGGGCACCAGCATGGAGGACAGACTAAAGTATGCAGAGGAAGGAGTAGACGCTTAGAAAGGACGTGTGGAGAAAAACAAGAAGGTTGCACACAGCAACAGTGGCCATCTGCATGGAAATGACATGCAAGTAAGAGGTGGGGTTAGGAAGAGGGAGGGGACCTTAAGACTGGGGGGGGGGGCGGTGTCAGAGTGGGTGAATGCATTTACAATGCACTGCAAACATGCATACATGTGCGTAGAGCCGTCCAAAATATATAATCAAAGTCCTAAACATTTAGCCACGAACACAAAAACACACATAAACAATGATGCGGGGAGGGCTTTTAAATTTAATTTCTATCTTTATTAAAGTGAGACACTTATCATATTTTTGCTCTAATTTAAAAATTTTTAAACAAGGTTTATTTTAGTTTTTGTTATATATGTGTGTGTTGTATATGCCCATGCTGCGTGTAGGTACCTGTGGAATCCAGAAGAAGGCGTTGGATCTCCGGGAGCTGGAGTTATAGGAATGTGAGCTGATCCACATGGGAGCTGGGAACTGAACACTGGTTCTCTGTGAGCAGCTTGGTTTTCCTAACTGTTGAGCCTTCTCTGCAGCCTCTTGGGTTTAACATAAAAGTTACACATCTGTATTATGCATCAATCTTTTAGGAACATATCTTTATTTTTAAAAATATTTTTATGTGTATATGGATGGTGTATGTGCACATGTGTGTTTGGGTACATGCACCTACACATGTTCATAGAGGTCAAGAGTCCTTATTCCTTTGAGTGGTGGGGCCACACTACACGTGAGGTAACAACAGGCTTTTTACACTGGTGCTGGGGATTTGAACCCAGAGCTTCATGCTTGCATAGGGAGCACTCCTCCTCTCAGAGCTAGCTCCCCAGCCTTCTGAAATAGTTTAAAAAGCTTGTTCTTAATTTTTATGCATTTCTTTTGTGTGTGTGTGTGTGTATGTGAGAGAGAGAGAGAGAGACAGAGACAGAGAGAGAGAGAAATAGAAAGAGAGAGGGAGAGAGAGACAGAGGGGGAGAGAGAGGGAGGGAGAGAGAACTGCTGTGGGGATTGGTTCTCTCTATTGTGTGGGTTCTGGGGATTAAAGTTAGATCATCAGACTTGGTGGCAAGTGCTTCTTCCCCACTGAGCCATCTTGCTGCTCTCCTCAAATATTTAAATTGTTTTTAGAGTACTGTGTGATAATTGCATGCCTGTATTTAATGATCAAGTCAGGTTAGTTAACACTACTACTGCCTTAAACGTTTTTGTTTGAGTCAGGGTCTCATTTTGCCCAAGCTGGCCTCAAACTTGCTACGTGGCCGAGGCCGGCTCTGAACTCCTATGCTCTTACCTCTTCCTCTCGAGCTTGTGACACATGCCCGAATACTGTCTTCTTAAACTTCAAAACTGTAACATGTAGTTGTTGCGCATATTTCTGGAGTCCAGCGTGCTGTTTTAACATGTGTGTTCTCTTCAATTGCTGAGCCATACTCCGTTGTGAACGTACGGCACATTTTCTTTATGCACCTGTGGACACTGAGGTTGATTCCACATTTTTTTTTTTTTTTTTTGCTATCATGAATAGAAAGACAATGGACCTGGACACATAAGCATCTCTTTGATATGCTGATTTACTTTCTTTGGATATCGACCCCACAAATGGGGCAAGCTAGGGTCAATAGTCACAGCTGTTTTTATTGTTTAAGGAATCACCGTATTGTTATAGGAAAAACTTCTAAATCAATTGTTGTGATGGTTTGAGTGCTGGCCCATAGGGAATGGGATTATTAGGAGGTGTGGTTTTGTTGAATGAAGTGGGTCACTGAGGGGTGGGCTTTGAGGTCTCATATGTTCAAGACATGTCCCATACACTACTCACTTCCTATTGCCTGTAGATAGAGATGTAGACAGAGATGTAACCTCTTCAATACCATATTTGCTTGCAAGCTGCCATGCTTCCCACCACTAAACCTCCTAATTGTAAGCAAGCCTCAATTAAATGTTTTCCTTTATAAGAGTTGCCATGGTCGTGGTGTCTCTTTACAGCAGTAGAAACACTAAAACAGTTATTGAAAAACCCAGACATGGGACCAACAAGATAATTCAGTAGTAAAGGAGTTTGCCACAAAAGTCTGATGATCTGAATTCAATCCCCCAGAACCCATGTAAAGATAGAAGGAGAAAACTGTACAAAGCTGGTCTCTGAACTTCACATAGGGATCATGGCATGTGCATACTTCATATATGCATCACACAAAATAATAGTAATTGATAATAATAATAATGATAATAATAAATGTTTAAAAAAGCCACTTGTGGTAGCAGAGCTTAGCAATATTAGCTCTGTGGAAGTAGAATTGGGAGGGTCAAAATTTCAAGGTGTAGCTCAACTGTGTAGCTAGTTTGAGGTCAGCCTGAACTACAATAAACCCTGTCTCAAAAGTGAAAAAAGTTTTAAAAAATGTAAGTAAATAAAGTACCAGGTGTCTGCTGTTAGATAATGAGTTGTCTTAAATCGACAGGAAAAGGAAGACGTCAAGAGCTAGTTCCAGCCAATTTAAAACATTAAAGGAAGCTGGGTGTGGTGGCACACACCTTTCTTTAATCCCAGAACTTGGGAGGCAGAGGCAGTGGATCTCTGTGAGTTCAGAGTCAGCCTGGTGCATAGAGCACATAATGACAGGTAGAAGTACATAATGAAACCTTGTCTTAAAAAACAAACAAGAACAAAACCAGTCAAATATAATAATAGTAACAATAATAATAGCCTTAGTGTTCTATTACTATGAAGAGACGCCATGACCATTGGGGCTTGCTTACAGTTTCAGAGGTTTAGTTCATTGTCATGTTGGTGGAGAACCTAGTAACACATGCAGGCACACGTGGTGCTGGAGAAACTGAGAGTTCTAGATCTAGATCAGCAGGCAGCAAGAAGAGAAAGCCACTGGGCCTGGTGTGGGCTTTTGAAACTCCAGAGCCCATTCTCAATGACACACTTGCTCCAACAAGGTCACACCTCCTAATCCCTCTCAAAGAGTGCCACTCTCTAATGGTCTCCCCATTCATTATTCAAATCTATTAAAATGTTGATGGAGTTGGAGCAGTGCCTCTCCAGACACTTCAGTGCATGGGTACCTTTTTATAAAACTTCTTTATAACATCATTGTTTTATTTTTTTTAAATTTCATTTTACATTCCAGCCATAGTTCTCCCTCCCATCCCTCCTCCTGCTCCCCTTCGCCTCCCCCATGCACCCAACCCCATCCACTTCTCCTAAAGGGTCAGGCCTCCCATGGGGAGTCAACAAAGCCTGACACATTAATGTGGGGCAACAGCAAATCCCTCCCCCACTGTATTAGGATTGAACGTGGCATCCTACCATAGAGAGTGGGCTCCAACAAGCTAGCCAGGGATAGACCCTGCTCCCACTGCCAGGTGCCCCTCAGATAGACTAAGCTACATAGCTGTCTCCCACATGCAAAGGGCCTAGTTGGGTCTCATGGGTTCCTTTGAACTGAGGTCACTGGTCAGGATTCAGACAGCTGCTTTCCCTTAGCCCCTCCAACCTGCCTTGAGACCGACCCTCCAAAAGTTATCTTGACCTGCTCCCTGGACCCTCAACCTCAGGGTACCAGAAGGGG